CGGAAATGTCCGCAAGCTCTTCCATCTCATTCGGTTCACCGGCCCCAGAAAGCCTGGTGTGAGTGGGACTATCTGTGAAGCGGATGGGTTACGATTCACTAACCTGCGAAGACGCGTGGAGCGTAAGGCCGAACATTTTCATTCCCAGTTCAATCGCCATCCACTGTCTGCTTGTATGCCAAGCACACTCAATAGCATGCCCTTTGTCATTTCATTATAGCCACCTAAGGAAGCGGAGATTTTCCTCGAGATTTGACACCTCGAGAGATTCAAATCTCCTGGCTCGGACAAACTTCCTCCGGAGATGTTCAAGTTGGCATCGCTGTTTTCCAAGATCTGGAACGAAGAGAAGATTCTATCCTCCTAAGACGAGTCAGTAATTATCCCTATATTTAATAAAGCTGCTGGCACCTTCTGTTCTGATCACAGGGAAATCAGTCTCATCCCGGTTGCTTCCAAACTGCTGGCATCCATTCTGCTCCGCAGACTATCCCCGATCCACGAGTTGGTTTACCGAGAAGAACAAGCGGTATTCGCCCCGGTCGAGGATGCATGAACCACATCTTCGCACCACGCTAAACCCCTAAACACCGCCATATCTACCACAGACCAACCATTGTCGTTTTCTTGGACATTCGAGCTGCATTTGACGGTTCATTGGCCTGCTTTATGGCACTGTTTGCTAAAAAATGGAGTCCCTGAAAAGTACACTTCCATCATTCGGGCGCTTTACTTTCAAGTGTCAGGTGGAGTGAGGGTCTATTGCAAGCTTTCCTCACTCTTCGCTAGCTCTAGTGGTGTGCGACAAAGGTGCCCCTTGTCCCCATTCTTCTTTAACTTTACAATTGAGGACGCCTTGTTGAGATCTCTGGAAGGCTCCCAAAATCTGGGTGTTGAGCTTCTACTGGGTAATCGCGTAACTGACTTAGATTATGCTGATAATATCGCTCTACTCGGTGACGAATCACAGTGTGTACAGCTCTTTTTGAACCGTCTGGCGATTGAAGCGTCTAAGTGTGATATGCGCTTTTTCCCCTTGAAGTGTAATGTGCTACTCCAGGACTGGAAGTCCTCTACCCCCTCACTTACCATTGAAGGAACACAGCTCGAGCTTGTGTACAGCTTTGTCTACCTCGGAAGTCATATTTCTTCTGATGGCACTATTGGGAAAGGGATATCTCTTCGCATCGCCAAAATCCGATCGGCATTTACCAACCTGAATCATTTGTTTCGTCGTCAGGAGGGTCTACAACGCTTGTGTCTGTAAGATCCTGTTGTACGGAAGTGAGTTCTGACCGATTCGTGTGGATGACATGTGTCAACTTTCGGCCTTCGACAACACATGTTTACGGCGGATAGCCCTTGTGTTGTGGCAGCACCGGGTTCACAACCAAGAAGTTCGGTTTCGCGTCTTGGTCTTGCTTTACTTATCTAGGGAGTTGCATCACGGCTGGTAGCGGTGTTGAAGATGAAGTCTTACAACGGGTTGCAAAGACCCGCCTTGCATTCATCAAACTGAGACACCTATGTTGTTGTCGTGATATCTGTCTCAAGCTCAAAGGCAGGGTGTACAATGCTTCCATCCGTGCGATACTCTTGTACGGCTATGAGACTTGGTCTATTCGCTCGGAAGACATGAAGCGGTTGTCAGTCTTCGACAATCGCTGTGTACGAATGATTGCTCGGATGTGATGGCAACACCACGTAAGCAACGTAGAGGTCCGAGACCGAGTGCTTGGAGCGAATAGTGCCAGTTCTCAGAACGTTATTCTCCAACACCACATGCGTTGGCTCGGCCACCTATTGCGCATGCTAGCCTATCGCCTTCCCTGCCGAGCGTTATTTGCACTCCCAGGGAACGATTGGAAAAAGTGCCGCGGTGGACAGCCAATGACGTGGAGAATGAGTATGAGGTATGCAATCTCAAGCTTAGTATCCGTCGGACGGGTCTGCCTTCCGGGATGGGAACCATGCGATTCGGACTGCCAGTGATTAGCAACGTTGGAGGCTATGGCGCGCAATCGGCATCCGTGGAGACAGTGCTGTTTAGCCGTGTTATCTATTAATTAACTTCTCATGGAACAGAAAACCGAAACAATAAATCCCAAAGCGGTGTGTGTAAAACCGAAAAAAATCGTTTTCATGTTATATTTCGTTCCCCCCTTTATTTCGCCATGGTTCTGATGGCACATTATCCGTAATCACTTGGGAAACATGACCCCTCCGCTTGATCGCCTTGTCGCAGTGCGTCAATTGAAGTGGCCTGGCCACGTTCTACATATGTAATGCGAGCGCTTGCACCTTATTTGTTTGCACGGGATTGTATTGGAAGAGAAGGCATGGAGGCCAGCCAGCCACTTGGCAGCAAACCATGAAATCGCTGACCTCTCGTCTCGCCATCGTCGGCGCTGTACGTTTTCCTGGTTGGGGGCCCAAGGATAACGACTGCCTAGGGCTCGACACGCTTGACGTTATGGCGCGAAACCGGAATCAATTAAACGACTGCATATTGAAATGTTTTGAACTATGTGATTAGAGCTATTCCATTCAAAATGTCAAAAAGGAACAACACGGCTTGTGAAAACAGCCGAAAAACGAGGCCAAAAGGCCCAAAATATTTGTTCCGTGTTTTCGACATTTGTACTTTCTATTTTGTCCTTCGGATTTTCAATTACTCAATGTCTATTTGTAGACAGGCGCATGTATATATATATATATATATATATTGGACCAGGTATTTATTTTTCTTACGACTGACAACGTTGTCGCTACCTCACCGTATTAGATGCACTGCAACTGCGCTTATCACTCGCGTTTCCATGCGCCTGCAATCTCGCCTTTGCTGTGTTTTCCCATCATGCCTACCTCGTGTTTGTGTGTGCGCGTACCTTCATCCCCTTATCGATCATCGGCCCGACACCGCATCCACCCGGTTCATCTGCCTGGTTGGGTGCATTTAACCCATCTCTTATTGTTATTATTTATGCTGCTGGTATTGCACCGTGGTAATGACGGACAGCTGGTTTGCTCCGTGTTGTCACGTTATCACTGGTGTTGCTATGGCTTACCGAGTAGTACCGGTTTCATGTGCTGAATCTATGTTACCTTAACGATCTTCTTCCCATTTAAGTTTGATGGCAACGAAAGTGGAACACAGACAATGTTTACGCTGTCCATGTTTGTCTGGGTGCAGTGAGGTAGAACCGTTGGCCGATTACGTTACCCGGGGCAGCCTCGATCCAAATTCGATCAGCCACTTGTCCGCGCGAGACACAGTCACAAAAGCCGAATTGTTGTTCCGACTAGGGACGCTGTACACATGTGAGGGTGTCGCGGCAGTTACTACGCCGCTCTCTTGCCAACTGCTACCGGGCCACTAGACTGAGAACCTGTCACATATTTGCCTTACGCCGAATTATGATGCCGCACCCGTCATTTGATGTCACTTGTTGCCTTGATGTCAATCATACATCAGAGCCACGTTTATCAGACAATGCGATTGCTAGTTCGCTCGGCCCGGGTGAATAGGGTACGTATGTGTAGCAGAAATGGAAGATATGACTTGCGTTTACAGACTGGAATAAAAATTGTCACTATTTGTCTCATTTATGCATAATATTGCCAGCCCCCACTGCTTGAGAAAGCTTCCTCTGTGGCTAGCATGTTGTTCAGTTTGCTTATAGCCCGGACGCATCCACCTCTTCGAAGATTGTCTCTTACTGACCATAAGTCTGTAAAGTCTTTCGTGTATCATATTGTGTGTGCACGCACGATTGACTGATGGGCGTGAAAATGCTCTGGTCTTTGTCCATGCCTGTTTACTCTGAATGCCGGCGATGTTTGGCTCACGACTTTTGCATCCATAGCTCGAGGGCCCGCTTCTGCGGTATTCTATCTCTCGTACAGCCGCCTGCGGTCGCACATCAGAGAAGCATCAGTACGAAGGACCGGTTTAGTGCAGAAACTTCTCTAACCCCTTATGGGTCACAACTCGAGCTATTTCTGCAGTCATGTTCTCCGTGTCTGCGTCACTAAAACACCAGTCATCCACATTGATAAACATGTCCACTTTGTTCTGGAATCCCACATTGTGGACTCCAACACACCAGATAAATTGATATGCCGTTTATCTTGGGCCTGGTTTGAAACAGTGATAGATCATTTTTCTAAATGCACTTCATTTTTCTTAACTGATCTCGTGCGATTGGTTCGCACTCACTCGATTACCATTCGCTCGCGTGGAGCTTATGTGTGGGCGCACGATGCAGCCTTCATGCCTTCGCTTCCTCGTTATAATCCTCACAGGTGGTCCTGGGATATCCTGACTACTTGCCTTTTTATACTGTTCCCATATTACTTCTCATTGTTTCCTTACTTTCGGAAACCAATGGTACATGTTAGTTTCAATGAATGCTGCCTCCAGTGTTGAGCACCTGCTTTCTACATTTCTCAAACAGGTTCGTCTTCACTGGCATGAATAGTTGAACGCGATGTTGTTTCAACGAGTTAACTGTCGTTCCCGTTGACCTATGATTTAATCACGTTCCCACACCCTCTTGCTTCCCGACATTATCGGCGAATCCATCACATCAGTCATACAGTTATTATGTGCATCCGCACTGGATCATCATCATCAACGATCCATGCATTCCATCTGCTCCCTCCAGTGAGGCTAAGACACAAGACCCCGCTTATCCGTAGTTATGGTCATTGCACTGCTGACTATTCAGGAGGGAGCGAAATGGTCTCTCTGGGTGTGTGTGAAATAGCAGTCTAGTTAGGATAAATTCAAGCTGCACCAAACAAATTCACCTACTGCTCACTTGCGAATGGACTTATGTACGTTGAATTTTTCACGATCCACGCAAGCCACTTGCTTTGGAGACGCACCTTTTGATCAGTACACTTACGTTTTTAATCCATGCATTCTTCCCTTTGTACACGTCTTGCCTTGGAGTAGTATCTGTGTATGAGCACACTCGCTTCTCCCTTCTACACAGGCCTTCTCCAGATCATCAACGTTCAACCGAAAGACGCCGGATTCTACATTTGCTCCGACCGTCACATCAGTTCCACTGCTCAACTCCTCGTGAAACGTAGGTTCCATGCTGGTTGTTTCCAATATCGGCTACTTCACCCCATTACCGATGTGTCTTTCCCTTGCAGAAACTTTTCTAACTCCTACGGGGCCACTGCTCGAGCTACTTCTGAAAACATTTTCTTCCTCTCTGTGTCACTAAAACATCCCTACCACCTCCGATCGGAATTACTTTCATGAAAGAAGGTGCCTAATTTGTACCCATTTTATCCCGGGTGACCCTAACTTCCATTTTGACTATCCTAAGTGGACCTCGCCTTCCACTTAGTCCCTCTGACAACGTGACACCCTTGCAAATGCACTTTTCTCTCCGACGAACTTAACATAGCTTCAAACAACGTAATATCTACTATTTTTACTTCCTACACTAACACGAGCTCGTTTGGTTTTTTTCGCCCCACTCACAGCCCGCCTTCGTCTCGTCACTAAACCTGAGGATGTTCGCATTGCCCGGCTGGGTGACAGGGTTCAATTCAGGTGCGCTACCTCAGATCCACAGGTGACACCCTTTTGGCTTTTCAACGGACAGCCTAGGACCAGCAATGGGGATGGCAGGGGTAAGTTGTTGCGGTACTGTCACATTACATCCAGTTTACCGCTGCCCTAAAGTGCCTAGTTTATCAAAGAACTCTGCGGTTATCACCAGTTGTCTAAAATAATTATTGTTTGGTCCTTTTTCGTCAACTTGATTTCTCATTGCCCAAGGTGAGAGCGAATCAACTTTCACACAATTATTTGTTTGCTACATGTTGTATCCAGTCCGTAACCCATATTAAACATCTTCAGTCCCAAACGAAGGGTCAAGTGCTAGCCGGTAAACCTTTTCTCCGCCGCAGTTCAGTTCCGCATCGAAATGGTGCGAATCCTTGCCGTCTCTTCATCTCTTTTACATTCTGCTCTCGACTTAAATCTCTGGCACCCTCTTCTCGCTTATGATGACGGAGTTTTTCCTCCTAGAACACATTTATCTATCATTCCTAGGTAGTTGCTTTTCAGTTTTCGTTCAGTGCAACTGAGGAATATCTCTTACTCTATCTCGGGTGCGTCTTATGGTTCCGCGTCTCGTGGCTTACCTATTTCTAAGCTTGTTGGAGTGATGCCAGAGAGAAAACAGCTCAAAGCTACAGTCCTTAACAGTGGCCGCTCTGGAAATTTTTAGTAACATCAGGTGGCGCTTCGGCCTAGTTACTGATTCCTTGAACCCACTGTTAACCAATATCCTTATTTGCCGACCCGGCCGTTCTGGAAAACGCAGATTTTCTAGCGTATCCATGATGACGCTTAGAATCGCATTTGTATCAGTTCTGTTTGCCAAGTTCAGTGATATCTACGTTCCCGTGTGTTCGGAAATTTTTGGTACTGGTTTGTCTCAAAGCTTCGAAGCTTCGACAAGTGACGGCTGGACACGTTGAAATGCAGTCAATCTTTTCTACGAAAGGAATTCTTAGAGGCAGCCGTTACGATAGCAAGCGCAAATGGAGACACAGCTGAGGCTGCTCATACATTTGACGCAAGCATTCGACTTCTTTTATCGGCCACTGTTTCCTTGGTCAGTTTTTGCAACTTTTCGAACCCATTTGTCAAGTTCAACTCCGATGTTGACTGCTACTACTTTCGATATTTAGTCCAAGCGGTAATAGAGCAATTCCTAAACGGTGCGATCACTGGTTCAACCTTGGCGCAGCTGAATGCTTTCGGTCCATCGATCATATACTCAGAACAAGCTAACATCAGACGGTGTCACAGCTCACTCGGATTTCCTCGCTGGGTCCGTGTCTGCGGATAGTCAAGTCGAATGCACGCAGCCGGAGATCTCTACTTGGACCCCCTGATCATGATTGCTAACGCTTCGAGTTGTCAATTATTTAGAATGCTCTTAGCTCAGAGTGTGGATAAGGATTTCGGCTTTTCCCCCTGAACGAGGCAATTTGGCTGCATACGTTTACTTCAGCAACACCCGTGCAAATTCCAGGGAAGTGACTTACCGTCATTCCTTGCTTGCTTTTATTTCCGGTCAGAGGTCACGCGTTGCCTTCCACCTTCTTCATTGACCCATTGCGTTGGGTGCGACGGCGGTGAACTGGCCGATTGATCGCTTTATTTGTTTCGTTTACCTAAGGGGGGTTGCCACCCCTTTGTAACTCCGCTTCGCATGCTACTTCTAGGTGTGCATCCAAGTTTCAGATCACAATAAGTCCATGTACATTCCAAATTACCTTTCTAGTATCGACTATTTCCAGGTCAAATTGATGATCCCTCGCGTCAGAAACTAGTGACTTCTAATCATGTCAGCTAGGGGTAACCTTGATGCACCCTTCCTTCCTGTTTAACCCCCCATAGGTCCCTCTTCTCTCCCTGTTATTATTCTTCCTTCGTTAGGCAACCGTGTTTGTACGGCAGCGAAGCATCAGTCCAAGTGGATGGTGTAAATGCTGCTGATAATGACGACCCTCGTAGTGTTTGTTGCAGCTTATACCGAAGCTTTTGCGAATCACCCTCGATTTCTCTTTGCTCAGCTTGCCCTTGGCCATAATTGGCTTGTTCCGACTCGTTTCCGTCCATATGTGACCGACTTTGATTCATACAGGCACCAAATGTCCTGCCGCCAGCTCACAACTTCCATTAACACATGGTAGAATAATTACTTTCCTACCCGTTATCGTTATTGGTCTGAGCTGTTATCGTCTCTCCGATTTGGCTTAAAGTAATATATGAATCTCTTCTGGGCATGCTGATCGGGGGGTATTCCTTTGCATTCTTCGACTGCGGCTTGCTGCACTGTGTTTGGGCTCGTTTAAAAGAGTTCTCACGCAGTTGCACCTGTGGCCTGTCGAATACTTGTTGCAACTGTTCAGGATTTGATCCATGCACGTCGTCTCTCTCTCTCTCTCTGGACTACTGTCTTGCAGCGAGAACATCCATGAGTAGTAACTGACCGTTGTTTTCCACTCCCTCCACTTTCATTTGATGGCCACATAACTGTTGGTCTTATTGTCTGGTGTTCACTTCGAATTCCTTGTATTCACTGTTACCACGCAACCCCCATGAAACGCTGTTTCACGCATGACTTACCTGCTGGCTAAATCAAACTCCGAACGCAACCTGATATTCCCTCGTCACAGAGTGCGATCAGTTTCTGACGATATGGACGAGAAGGATCCTGATGCATATGTTGGTAACCTACTTTTGTGGAAAATTGTGGGTGTTTCCTCTGATCTCACGGATAACCAGCTCCAATTGCGCAAGTTGGTCGGCCGATTCTCCAGATCAAAAAACAAAGGCCCCAGGTGAAAACTGTGATGAACACCTGATCGTAGTATATATCAACAAATAATGGGGGCAGATAAATAGCTAATAAGTTAGTGACCTAAGTGGAAGTTCCTGGATTTCGGCAACTACTGGTTGGCGGCATCCGGTTTCGGATTTGCCTGTCACTGTGGCAAGCCACAGGACGCCTGCGCCTACAGAGGGACCATAGATGGCTTGCGCTGTACCACCCACAGCTCCAACCACACACCCCATATCCAGTGTAAACCCGAAGGAATGAGACCGGGAGGCATGCGGATGGGAACCACGTTTCATCAACAGAGCCGGCCCACACTCCTTCCCATGCAAACACAAGCACACTGTATTTGGGAATCAAGCGCACACAAGGCGGCGGCTGGACCGTAGTCCGCTCCACACTGACTGCATGGAACCACTCTTTGATCCTAACACGGCCGCAAGACCGTGCACCCCGTCCCCTCCAGCAACGACCAACTGTCTCCTGGAGCCAGTATGGACGAGGTAGTGAGTAATAGACAGGTAGGCACCTTGTCAACATGCACATCAAGCGCATCCACACCGGGGATATCAAACAACAGCCAAACGCTTGAGAGAGAGAAAGAAAAAGCGAAGGAGAAAAGCTCGATTAATGCATAAGGAAACGGTGATATAGACCTTAATTAAATAGCATATGTAATAAGTTGTTTACAAACAAATCCTAGCTAAGTGCACGAGGTCAGGATATATAGTTCACGGAATGCCACGAACACAAATATGCTACGGAAATCGAATACAATTGGCTTAGGCGAGGTGTGCAAGTTAATGGAATAGAGTACTGGTAGACATTTATATGAGAAAGAAAAGCATTAAGGCACAAACTGTAAACCCACCACGTGAAATAAAGAGACTTAGCATGCAAGCACGCTGTTAGTAAATCGAATTCAGCGTGCCTACAAACGCTGCGCCGGCTCGCCGTAATTCTCTGCAGGACCCGTCGTCGCTTCTGTAGTGGCCCCAAAGGACCTAGCTCATGGCCCACTAGATATTTATATGAGAAAGAAAGGCATTAGGAGAGAATCGCAAACCCACCACCTGAAATAAAGAGACTTAGCATGCAAGCATGCGGTTAGTAAATCGAATTCAGCGTGCCTACAAACGCTGCGCCGGTGCTGCCTACGTTCACTGCTGGACCCGTCGTCGCCTCGGCAGTGGTCCCGAGTGACCTCTCTCATGGCTCACTAGGCCTGCTTGACTAAGGCAGTCGCGACCGCATGTTCTACAGCACAATGCGCTCGATGTCGATGGAGTACAATTCATTGGTGCTTGCCGCTTCTTCTCTGCATGCATGAGGGCTTTCTCCCGCACTTCAGCAACTGCCTTCGTGATTAGATCGCGCCATGCACCACGATCAACCGCCTTCGATTCCCATGATCTGCAATCAAGATTAGAACGTGTGAGGCTCACTTTGATCATGTCCTGGTAACGTAACTTTGGTTTCCCAGCATGCCGTTTCCCTATACCCAGCTGACCGTATAAAAGTTGTTTCGGTATTCGCGTCGGATCCATACGGCTCACATGACCGAGCCATCTCAGGTGTCGCAGTAAAAGTATGCCGTCCACTGCATACATCCCACTTCGGCGCAACACTTCCGTGTCTGCAACTCTGTCGCCCCAACCGATCCGCAAAATTCGTCGCAGACACTGATGATGGAACCGCTCGAGATATCGCTCATCCCGACGGTACATCGTCCACGTTTCACTGCCGTATAGAAGAACGGACAGTACCATGGATTTGTACACCATCAGCTTCGTGCCAATGCTAAGCTGATGGTTGTTCCACACTCGGTACTCTAGCTTCCCGAATGCCGCTGCCGCCTTCGACACGCGAATGCGCAACTCAACGTGTAGCTGCTGATCAGTCGACATCACACTCCCAAGGTAGCAGAAACGGGAGGTGGTTTCCAATACTTCAGCACCAATGCTGATTTGCGGCAATATTGAAGATTGCACCTCCGGTGAAGGCTGAAAGAGACAGACAGTTTTGCTTGTGTTGATGGTGAGTGCGAATTTGGCCGCTGTGGAAGCCAGAGCACTAGTCATGTGCTGCAACTCATCCGCGCTGTGTGAAAACAACGCACAGTCGTCAGCAAACAGCAACATACGGATAGTTGTCTCAGACTAGAGTTCTCGCACCGAAACGACGGATGTTCAGCAACCCACCATCAATACGGTGCTCCACACGAACACCGTAAGCACAAGCCGCATCAAAAGCACAAGACAACATTGCATGAAG